TCAAAACCGCCAGTCAGTCTGCGGAAATGGCAAAGCAACTTGACGAGATCAAGAAACAGAACCATAAAACCGAGCAGCGACTAGCAGAGCTAGAACGTTAGTAGCTAGTATTTCCATCATATCAGAGAAGTTCAATAGACTTTATATGTACTTTTTTTGTATTTGTGTGTATTGTAATCACAGAACCATTACATGTAAATTGTGTCAAGGACCCCAATGTCATCAACATTATACATCTAATAAATATAAATATAAATATAAATATAAATATAAATATAAATATAAATATAAATATAAATATAAATATAAATATAAATATAAATATAAATATAAATATAAATATAAATATAAATATAAATATAAATATAAATATAAATATAAATATAAATATAAATATAAATATATAAATACCAAATTTGTACTCAATGTTAATGATATTTAAGAGCGAATGTCTGTAAGGATCAAACAATGGTGGCACCGGTCAAAAAATCGATTTGGCTCATTTTTTGCACAGTGATAGTACTTGGTACATAACCCCTCAGAATAGCTTTCTTTTTGTTCAGAACCCCTTGTTGCCATGGCAACGGGCCAAAGAAGTTTTCAGGGCATTTGTCCAGATTTTTGGCATGTACAAAACATAGAAATTGGCTAACTTTAGGGCACTATAACTGATCAGTGCTTTAGCGTAACGACAAGAGCAAGATGTGCTGATCAGAGCAATGCATAAACTTCTATAAAACAGCAGTAAAGCCAATGTTCAGTAAAATCTGAGGTCTTGGGCACTCTGAATACAATGCACTGTTTTAAGGGTGTAAAAAAAACTGAAATTTTGCCCAACTTTGAAGCACTGTAAGTCCCAGAAGGGGAGGATGTTTTGTTTCAAATTTGCACTGCATAATAAACCACTCCAGAGGTATCAGATGCATGCTTGCAAAGTTTGGAATTCTTGTTTCGTTGCTACGCACTTGTCCTTTAAAGTAGGTCAGTTTTCGTTATTTTGATGATATGTCATTTTGTGCTATCTTTGAACTAACATAAGCTCCAAACCAAACTAGTTCTTTACTTGAAATTTACATGAAGTATAAAACAACAAATTGTCTATGAAATGCATGCTTGCAAAGTTTGGGTTCTTGTTTCGTTGCTACGCACTTGTCCTTTAAAGTAGGTCAGTTTTCGTTATTTTGATGATATGTCATTTTGTGCTATCTTTGAACCAATATAAGCTCCAAACCAAACTAGTTCTTTACCTGAAATTTACATGAAATATAAAACACAATTGTCTATAAAATGCATGCTTGCAAAGTTTGGGTTCTTGTTTCGTTGCTACGCACTTTGTCCTTTAAAGTAGGTCAGTTTT